AGTCCACACTGTCCACACTTAGTTAAAACAGTCCACACTGTCCACACTTAGATAGAACAGTCCACACTATCCACACTTAGTTAGAAAAGTCCACACAGTCCACACTGTCCACACTTAGTTAGAAAAGTCCACAGTCCACACTGTCCACACTTAGTTAAAACAGTCCACACTGTCCACACTTAGTTAGAAAAGTCCACACAGTCCACACTGTCCACACTTAGTTAGAAAAGTCCACACTGTCCACACTTAGAACAGTCCACACTGTCCACACTGTCCACACTTAGTTAGAAAAGTCCACACAGTCCACACTATCCACACTTAGTTCGAAAAGTCCACAGTCCACACTGTCCACACTTAGATAGAAGAGTCCACAGTCCACACTGTCCACACTTAGATAGAAGAGTCCACAGTCCACACTGTCCACACTGTCCACACTTAGATAGAAGAGTCCACAGTCCACACTGTCCACACTTAGATAGAAGAGTCCACAGTCCACACTGTCCACACTTAGATAGAAGAGTCCACAGTCCACACTGTCCACACTTAGTTACAAAAGTCCACAGTCCACACTGTCCACACTTAGTTTGAAAAGTCCACAGTCCACACTGTCCACACTTAGATAGAAGAGTCCACAGTCCACACTGTCCACACTTAGATAGAAGAGTCCACAGTCCACACTGTCCACAGTTAGTTTGAAAAGTCCACACTGTCCACACTGTCCACACTTAGATAGAAGAGTCCACAGTCCACACTGTCCACACTTAGTTAAAAAAGTCCACAGTCCACACTGTCCACACTTAGATAGAAAAGTCCACTGTCCACACTTAGTTAGAACAGTCCACACTGTCCACACTTAGTTTGAAAAGTCGACAGTCGACACTGTCCAAACTTAGTTTGAAAAGTCCACAGTCCACACAATCCACACTTAGTTAGAAAAGTACACTGTCCACACTTAGATAGAAAAGTCCACAGTCCACACTGTCCACACTTAGTTAGAAAAGTCCACAGTCCACACTGTCCACACTTAGATAGAACAGTCCACACTGTCCACACTTAGTTAAAACAGTCCACACTGTCCACACTTAGTTAGAAAAGTCCACACAGTCCACACTGTCCACACTTAGTTAGAAAAGTCCACTGTCCACACTATCCACACTTAGTTAGAAAAGTCCACACAGTCCACACTGTCCACACTTAGTTAGAAAAGTCCACAGTCCACACTGTGCACACTTAGATAGAACAGTACACACTGTCCACAAGTTAGTTTGAAAAGTCCACAGTCCACACTGTCCACACTTAGTTAGAACAGTCCACACTGTCCACACTTAGTTTGAAAAGTCCACACTGTCCACACTTAGTTCGAAAAGTCCACACTGTCCACACTTAGTTCGAAAAGTCCACAGTCCACACTTAGATAGAAGAGTCCACAGTCCACACTGTCCACACTTAGATAGAAGAGTCCACACTGTCCACACTTAGTTAAAAAAGTCCACACTGTCCACACTGAACACACTTAGTTAGAAAAGCCCACAGTCCACACTGTACACACTTAGTTAGAAAAGTCCACAGTCCACACTGTACACACTTACTTAGAAAAGTCCATACTGTCCACACTTAGTTAGAAAAAATTTCACAGACCACATTGTCCCACACTTTGTTAAAAAAGTCTACGCTGTCCGCACTTATAATTAGAAACGTCCATACTGTCCACACTTATGTGATTAGAAAAGTCCACTCTCCACACTGAGTTATATACAAGTCCGCGCGCTATAAAACATGCTCATCTTTGTCCCTATATGGTATGGTTATAAAGTTTTGGCTCTATTCCTTAGTATTTACCCAAAAACAAAACAATCGTTTTCATGCAGTTCTTGGGAAGCTCGTTAAATAGCCTTTTTATAGGGTCGGAGCAAAAGCTGTGTGCAAAAGAAACGGTAGACCAGGTAAGTATTAAGTTTTAAGCCTTTTAAAGCAAATAGCTAATGATGAAACGCCAACTTTCAACATATATATATATATATATATATATATATATACATATATATATACATACATATATATATACATACATATATATATACATATATATACATATATATATATATATATATATATATATATATATATATATATATATATATATATATATATATATATATATATATATATATATATATATATAGTTTAGAATTCGCTTAACTCAAAATTGTGCAACAGTCTGTTTCATTAGTAAAGAATCATCAGGCGGTATGACAAGTTTCAAAACTTGTCATGCCGCCTGATGATTTTTTACTGATGAAACAGACTGTTGTGGAATTTTGAGTTAAGCGAAATTCTACATTTGCTCTATCTTTATGATATTGAGCACTCTTTGCGTTTCGTATACACAAACCTACTCGTATATATATATATATTACTTATATTAATTATACAATTTCTCATTTTCCCAATTCCACTCGTGTTGATAAAACTGTATATCAACACGGAAAGTGAATGAAAATTTTATGTTTGTTAAATACATATATATTTGTTCATTTTCAACACTCAAAATAAATCTGGTATATATATTTTCGCGCACCCATGTATTATTCTCTATATTATAGCTATTTCAATTTAAGGTTGTCCCGGAGCAAAGCGGAAAAGTTGAATATGAGCGCGAAAGGCTTGCTGGGAATTGTTAAAAAGGTCATTAATTTTTAGCGATTCCCAGCAAGCCTTTCGCGCTTGTGCGCTTTTTGCTCTGGGACAACCTTAATTGAAGTAGATTTGTACAAACTTCAAAAAACTGTATACGCCAACCGTGAAAAACAGATAGACTGTTAAAGTTACTGACTGTTAGAAGACTGTTAGTTGAGTTTTAATGATGTACAATTAAACTATTCATTAATTATATCAACGGGTGTAGGTAGACGTTGGTTTAACTCTGTCTCTCATTGGGTTGAATATACAAAAATAACGGCGCATGATAATTTGGTGCGCTTGCAAAGTATCTAAGCCCGGTCTCTTCCACTAGTGTCTTTCTCATTTTTGCGCCTTTTTGCCCGAACGCATGTGCCGCTATTTTCTACCCTTTGAAAGACAGTCTTAAAACAAGCATATAGCGCAATCTAAGTATAAAGTTCCTAGAATCCGTGTCCTGAATTTCAGCTTGATGTAAATAATGAATGGTCCTGTTTGAAATTTGTACAATTTGTTATTGTTATTTTACATCTACATTTAATAAAGGTGCAATTATCACCAGCTTTTGATCTTTAATAAATATATATATATATATATATATATATATATATATATATATATATATATATATTTATATAGCTTAAGATTTTGGTTTACGAAACACAAACAGTGCTCAATACCGTATAGATAGAGCGTAATATAGTTTTTCGTTTTACCTCAAAAAACCACAACAGTCTGTTTCATCCGTATAGGAATCATCAGGTGGACCACCTGATGATTCCTATACGGATGAAACAGACTGTTGTGGGTTTTTGAGGTAAAACGAAAAACTATATATATTTATATATATATATATATATATATATATATATATATATTTATATATATTTATATATATTTATATATATTTATATATATATATATAAGATGAAAATGTTCTAGAGTGTGTATTATATCCGCGGCTGGGTCTTGAACTAGTATTGTTCGATGCTGAATTAATATAAACGAGTATGTTTATGACATTCAGTATATATTTCATAATTTCCAGTCTTAAATCCGTCTGACCGTGTAGCTCAGTTGCTATGGTAGGGCGTCGATCTAGCAATTCGAAGGTCGCGGGTTCAAGACCCAGCCGCGGCAGACAACATCTTTCTGCTAGCGCTGGGTATGGAAATTAGCCAATATAATACACACTCTAGAACATTTTCATCTTAACATATTACGGATATATATATATATATATATATAAAATATATATATAAAATATATATATATATATATAATATATATATATATATAATATATATATATAAAATATATAAAATATATAAAATATATAAAATATATAAAATATATAAAATATATATCTATATATCTATATCTATCTATATCTATCGATCTATATATATCTATCTATATATATCTATCTATATATATCTATCTATATATGGGTCGATTGACCACCCGAAGGCCTGGAAAATTGCGGAGAAGACGGGATGGGCGTATTTACGAATGTTGATAAGCAGTTGCCACAATCGGTTATGCCACATCCGTGACGAGTCAGTTATGCTGAATGAACAGATCGAGCAAATGTTGGACCCACCATCGCTGGATACTCTAAAGAAAGCAATTTCAGATAAGTGTACATTTCTAAAGAATTATAAACAGGATAAGCATGATAAGAAACTAGGACGAAGCAATGACAGTAAACATGAAGGTATAAAGAAGCGTTGGGTTATTAATACATCCGAACAAAGTTTGACACAGCATGAAATTACTTTGCTCAGGAAAGGCATGAATTTCGCGTTAGCTCCTAAAAGTGTACCCACAAAGGAAATTATCGCTTCAGTGGAGCAAGGTATAAAACATTTATCTAACGACGAAAAGAATGAAGTAAGAGAGAGGGTGTGCGCCGTAGTAAAACATGCTAAATG